GCTGATCCCAGCGCTGTAGCAGACTAAGGCGAACCCGTGGACTTCGTCCACGAGCTTCTCGAGGTGGTGCTTGAGGAGCACCTGGGTCCTCCTGGGCCATCAGTGGGCCCGAGATGGCTCATGGCGCCCTTCGCTTTTGAGAGCGCCTGTGTGAAGAGCTGGTCACGTCACCGCTCGCTCTTGGGATGTGCCTTGGAGAGCTCTCTACGCTTCGGCTCGCTCTTGGGAGCGTTGGTGAGAAGAGCTTTGTATTTCACCGATCGCTCTTTTCATGGGCGTCTCTGGGTCTGCTTGGTGGTCCTTGTGAGGGTCTTTTTCTGGCCATTATGATGTTTTTGGGGGGCTGATCTGGGAGCGTTTTGGGACGTTTTGGGCCGTCCGGGAGGCCTTGGACCGTCTTGGAGCTCTCTTGGGACCGCCTGAGGCCTTCTTGGGGGCCTCTTAGGGCCCCCTCGGAGCTCTCTTGGGGCCGTCTTGGGGTTCTGTGAGGCCGTGAAAGGCTCTTTGGCGTTGTCTTGGGGCTCTTGTGGGCCGTCTTGGGGCCCTCTTAGGGGCCGCTGGTGTCTTCTTGGGGCGATTTGGGAAGCCTCTTGGCGTGTCTTGGGCCGCTGAGGAGCACACAAGGCGGGCATGCTGGAAATATACGTTTTCCAATGGGAGTTCGACGATTTGTGCCTCGTTGGCGTGCGCTCGGGGCCCTCTTGGGGCGTCTTTGCGGCCTCTGGGATCGTCGTGGAGCCCCCCCTGGAAAGCTTCGGGCCCTCGTGGGCCGTCTCGGGATCCACTGAGGCCGTCTTGGGGCGCTCTTGGACGGTCTGGGAACCCCTCTGGAGCGCCTCTGGGACCGGCCTGAGCGATTCGGCCCCGTGGTGGCGCCGTAAAGGAACGATTTTGTCCACTTGAGGCCCTGGGCTTCTTGCGCGCGCTTCCACCGGCCGTGTAGAAGAGACTAAAGCTGACCCGTGGACTCCGTGCACGATGACCCGTGGACTCCGTCCACGACATCTGGCCAAGAGTATTCTGGGGGGGGGCGGCGGGAATGGTGCCGAAAGGCTATCCGCCCCTTCCACAGCAGCGCCCCGAGCTGCACCAGCACGCTCCGTGGCGCCTGCTGGCGCTGTCAGACGGGGACGATGACGGCGGCGGCGGTGGCGGCGAGACACAAAACACTTGCGGGGAGGTAGTTCGGGCGCGTGGTGCCCCTGCGCGATGATCCCACGGTTAACCACTTAGGGTCTCCTAGGGGCCGTGTAGGGGCCTCGTGGAACTTCTTTTGGGTTTCGAAGGGCCTCTGGGGGCCCTCGTGGGCTTTCGTCGGTGCTGTTCGGGCCGTCCCGGAACCGTCCTGGGCCGTTTTAAGCGCCTCTTGGGCCGTCTGGGGGCCGTCTTGGACCGTTCTGGCGTCAAGGACGGTTCCAAAAGGGCCCCAGGACGCCGCCGGGCGCGGGCCCACCATTCTGCCACGAGGGGCCTTTCTGTGGCAGAATGCGCCCGGCCCTGTCTTGGAGGGGCCCGAAGGCCTCAAGAGGGCCGCAAGAGCACCCCAAGGGGGCCCCAAGAGGGCCCCAAACCGCATGTACGTGATATGCTGATATGCTTCTTGGGCTTGCGAGATGGGCACCCAAGTACATGCGTCTTGCGGCCTTGTCGGGGCCATCTTGGGGCCCTCCTGGTTCCCTCTTGGGGCCCCTCGGGAGCGTTCCCACCCTGTCCTGCCCTCCTCTTGGAGCCGCCATGGGCGCCTGAGGAACCGTCCTGGCGCAGTCTTGCGCCGTCTTGGGGCCCTCCTGGCAGCCTCCTGAGGTGTCTTCGGGCGATTTAGATGGCCTGTGTGGCCGTTTTGAACGCTTCGAAGACGAAAAGCACGGGAACTGCCGAAATGTGCGCTTTCCCTCGGGGTTGGGGCGATTGTTCCTTGTTCGGGCTCCCCTGGGGTTTCTATGGAGCCCACTTGGAGCATTTCGGGGCCTCTTGGGCCGTCGGGCGGCTGTCTTGGGCGTCTTCGAGCGCTCAGATCCCGTCTCGGAGGCCCTCTTGGACCGTCTTCGGGCTCTCTTGGAGCCTTCTTGGGGGCCTCCAGGGGCGGTTCAGAGTGCTCTTAAGCCATCTTATCTTGGAAACGCGCCGGGGCCCCGGGGCCCTCTGGGGAAGGTTCTGAGGACGTCTCATCAAGCACCTTGGAGGCCTCTCGGGCTGGCTTGGGCCAATCTTGGGCCAATCTCAAGCGTCTGAGGCCCACCTGGGGGCCTGTTGAACCGACATGGGGGCCCTTGGGCCCGTCTTGGGGCTCTCTTGGGGGCCTTTTCGGCCGTCTTGGAACCGTCTTGGGGACGTCTTGGGCAGTCGTGGATCGTCTGGAAGCCGACTAGACGAGAACGGCAAAACCCCGCAAAGAACAAGGAGCATCTATGTTGTTTCTTGCTCGGGGCCCTCAGGGGAAGCTTCTGGGGAGGTCTCGTGGACCACCTTGGGGACCTCTCGAGCCGACTTGGGCCTCTTG